GACTTCTTCGACGAATCTGAGGCTCTCATCGGACGCACGGTGTTGGATCAGGACCTATAGGAAGCAAGGTATGTTACCAGGGGGTGTGCCGGCCACATTGCGATGATCCTTGTCACCATCATTGAAAGGTATCAATCAATCAATCACACAAGCATACCAGTGGTTGGCCCTTGGGGTTGACCTTGGGCCCATGGAGCGAATGGCAGGATACAATTTCTACATCCGGGGGAAGATGTTTATCGAATGCAGCAAGCTCCGGGGCCTTGCAGGACGTTTGACCTCCAACGATTGCGCCGACCTTGGTGGCTTTCCAGGCGTCAGACAACGTTTGTCGAGTAACAGTAGAAAAGGGAGCAATGCTGGGGCGCGGCGGTTTGGCTTCAAAGACATACATGGGCCATACTCAGCGACTACCTTGTCAATGACACCAGCCTCTACACTGTAAATGATGTAATCGCTAATCCTAGAAACCAGGTGTCCATTCGGGTATACGGTAACACCTTGCTTTCTCAAGATGAGTTTATGGACAGCACTGGCTGCGAGTAATCAAAGACGTACTTGAGATTCAAATTCATTTTTCAAGTCCTCATACAAATCGAGTTTGTCACATGCATTAATCCTTTAGTGGGAAAAAGATATCTAGTTAGTACAACTGACGTTGTTTGCTATCGAATGATCAAAAAGTATACAAAAATTAATAACCTGGAAGCAAGGACAGTCAGCGCGAGATCCAACAGCGAATGGCTATGGAAAGAAGCATGATTGGGTTGCGAATTTCAGACAAAGAAATATAGGTAGCTGAGATGTTACATCATTGACGACCCAGTGCGTAGCAGATATATCAGAATGATATAAACGCCGGACACCGAGCCATACTCGAGCCAAATGCACTCAAGTCATCATTCAAAGTGGGAGTGGGTTGAAAGGTATCTGGGAGATAGATAGAAGAGAGTGGTGGCTCACCTAGTAAGAGAAAACGCCGAGGGTATCTTGTCGAGACGGCAACGGAAAGAAAAGAATCTTCGCGTGTATTACCTCCATCCTGCGGCACTGAGGCGCTGGGCATACATTTTGCCCATATCACCCATTCCGATAATGCCAATACTGGCAGTCTCCTTGGTGAAGCCCATGATGGCGGTGCCTGGAGCGAAGATGAGAGACGTCGAATAAGTGACAATCAGCTCATTAGACTCCCAGCGCAGATGGCCACGGAGTCGCACCAGTTGTTTTGGCTTGGATGTTCACAAAGAAGGAGAAAGAGTAAGCCCGTTGAAACCCACGGGGAGGATTTTAAATAGTGCCGGCATCTTCAGCTTTCGGGCCGACTGGCCCCCCGAGGCGCCGCCAATCAACGGCTGTCAAAAACGCCTTGATTGCTCGCGGCCTCAGGCAGGCGCTCGCTTGAGCACGGCCTAAGATTGATCTGCAGCCAATCAGAGGCGGGGTGTGGATAGGGCACACACCGGCCGGGTTTTTTTCCTCTATCCCAACTTCACTTCGAGCGGGCGCGTTCGACTTCGACTTCCTTTTTTCCTTTCTTCTGTCCCATATTCCATCCCACAACCGACAAAAATGGCTCCCAAGAAGACCACCCCTGCCGCCAAGGAGAACGTCACTCTCGGCCCTCTGGCCGGTGATGGTACGAATTGAATTCACCCAGTCAAGAAATTCATTTCGCGCAAAGTCAGATGCTAATGTGAACATTGGGGGGTTTTAGGCAAGCTCGTCTTCGGCGTTGCCCGCATCTTCGCCTCTTTCAACGATACCTTCGTTCACGTCACCGATCTTTCGTGAGTCTCTCCGCCCTCGGTTCGCAAATCTCTGGAAGCCATCTCTCGGACTCGGTGCGCTTGTGATCAGGCTGGCTACGAAGAGTCGGGGCAAGGCAAACCGAGGCAGATTGATGGGGAACCAAAATTGAAGAACATCTACGGGAACAGCGCAAAAGAACAATACTAACAATTCATTTTACTACAGCGGCCGTGAAACCATCTGCCGTGTTACCGGTGGTATGAAGGTCAAGGCTGACCGTGACGAGTCCTCCCCCTACGCCGCCATGTTGGCCGCCCAGGACGTCGCCGCCCGCTGCAAGGAGCTCGGCATCAACGCCCTCCACATCAAGATCCGCGCCACCGGTGGTAACGGTACCAAGACCCCCGGTCCCGGTGCCCAGTCCGCCCTCCGCGCCCTTGCCCGCTCCGGCATGCGCATCGGCCGCATCGAGGACGTCACCCCCACCCCCTCCGACTCCACTCGTCGCAAGGGTGGTCGCCGTGGTCGTCGTCTGTAAGCATGTGCGAGTCTCGGTCTTCTCCAAACTGGTGCAGAGGTCTCTTTCGCACGCGTCTGGGGGACTTGTTGCTCGGTGCTGCTTGCCGGCTGTGGATGGAATAAACGCGAAGAACGGCTTTTTGCGCCTGGTCTTCAATTTATTACATACCCAAAAGTGTGTTTAGCGGTTCTGGAATTTCGCATCTTAGCTAGTCTGGTGTCATCTCGACGGCTGCTCTGGTCAATATAAGTGGAACCTTGGACTGCACTCTTTTTTCCCGTCACACGTAGAAATTAATGTAATCATAATTTGGGGCTGCAAAGAAGCCAGATATCTGCCATCTGCTTTCGATCCAATGATCTCAAGAGGTAGGTATTCTAGCAAAACATTTAAGGCTGGTCGGCCCACCCAGCCGCTAAGATAAGCCCAAACTTATCGATCAGTCAGCGTATCGCGAACCTTCCAACTTGATCGGCGCATATTCCAACTTGAGTCTTGCCCTTCTCGAAATACAACTAACGGTCACACGCCAGATTCTACCTAACCAGACTTCAACAACACGAATACGCCGAAAGCAATATACTGATTCAGCCTGCCAGTCTTTGCTCTAGCTCAAACTTGAGGTCAATCCGCGGGGGCGCAACGACCCCTCCAACATCACTTCTCTACAGCCCACGAGCTTGCACCCATTTCACCCCGCCCACCTAATACAACCAATAAAACCTCCTACAGCCCTCTCCAACATCCTAGATGATCTCCCTCAACCGAACCGCTTACCAAAACCTCTGACCGCCAAAAACAAAAAGAAACCACTACCCAACGCCACAAAAGAAAATGACCACCCCATCCCCCACCATCCTCCTCCCCCACCTGCCCCCCAAGACCCTCGTCGGCATCGACCTGATCACCTTCACCTCGACCGCCAACTTCCACGGCATCCGCGACTTACCTGCGGGGTGGCACTTCCTCTACACCGGCACGACCGAAAGTCTCTCCTTGCGGAGCGGAAGTTGGTTCTACGTTGGGGATTTGGGTAGCGCCGCCGCCGCCGCCGATACGAATCCCGGCGCACTCGTCTCCCTCCACCAACAGACCCAACGGCAGCAGCAAGAATATGGCCAAGACATCATAGTCTGGAAATGGGACACGGAGAGTGAAACGCTCGCGCCGTTGAGCGCCGCTAGCGATGCGGATCGGCAGGAGGCGATGCGGCAGAAGGCGAATCTGGGGGCGGTTTATCGGAGGGGCGGGTTGTTTCGGTATCGGAGTCGGGTGACGGAGGCGATGTTGGCGATGCAGTCACAAAAGCAGCAGCAGCAGCAGCAGCGGGGAGTGCGGTTTGAAGATGTTGAGGTAGAAGGGGAGGAGGAGGAGGATAAGGAGGAGCAGGAGGGGAGGAGGGATTGGCGAGGTTTGACGGATAGGATTACGGAGGGGTTGCTGGATCGGATTGTTGGGGTTCCTGTTGTGGATGTCGATGGGAGGGCTCGCTGGATGGTTACCTCGGCGAGTACCGCGCTGAGGGATAGTGATGCTATTCCTGGGTTGACCGTGGAGGCAGAGGAAGGGGGGGAACAGAGGTTGGATGAGGGGGCGATCGAGAGGGTGACCGGGGAGAAGGAACGGGAATTCTCGTTTGTCCCGGTGGATCTGAAGCGGACGTGGAGGGAGGGTGCGATTGGGAGGGAGAGGACTGAGGCCGCCCAGGATCGTTCGTGGGCCTTGGGGGACTTGATTGATAGGGTTTCATCGGGTCCAGGGGCCAAGGATGCTGAGAGGGAGAGGGCTGGGGAAGGCCAGCTGCTGGGCGAGCTGCAATTCTCTTTCTTGATGATCCTGACTTTGATGAATTACTCGTGTCTGCAGCAGTGGAAGCGTTTGCTGGAGCTGATCCTCACTTGTCGGAGTGCGATCCGTGAGCGGGAGGCGTTCATGAGTGATTTGCTGCGCTTGCTCTTGCTGCAGCTGCGCCGCTGTGACGATGTAGAGGGGGGTTTGTTTGACCTTGATGGAGAAGAAGGCGGTGCGTTCTTGCGGAAGCTACTAATGAAGTTCCGAAAGTCGCTATATGAGGTTCTCGAAGAGACAGACTCCCAGGTGAAGACGGAGTTCGAAAAGCTCGAGGCTTTCGTCAAAGAGGAATACGATTGGGAGCTCAATCGCGACGTGATTCTTCGACGAGGTATGGTACAACTGGAGGATGGCGAGCAGGTCGAGCTGGAGGTGGCGGGTGACAATGAAGAAGAGGAGCTTGGAGAATACGCGCCTATGGTTGTGGACCTTGGAGAGGGCAGTGGAATGGACGATAGCGATTCTAGTGAGAACCTGAATTAGCAGCTGGAGCTGTTGGGTGGACTTTGGCCAATGATCCATGTACATACAGTGGATAGCATGTATACATCAACCACGGCATATGTATGTGATAATGAATAGACTACACGAGAATAGGAAACAGGTAGTTGAATCGCACGATACTGAGTTATGACAATACTAAAACAGGTCGATGGCCCTCACATATACATAAAAACGAAGCAGTCAGAGTCATAAAACATTGGAAATTCGTCTCTAGGATATAGCTCTATATCAGAAGCAGAACACAGCACTACTATGTACAGTCCACCACCCTTGAGGCACGCAGCCCAACCCCGCCTCCACACAGACCCCCACGTGGCAATCCTTCTCTGCATGACCAACATTCCAGGACCTTGCCATAACCAAATTTCTCTGCCTAGTTCTCAAGCTCATCTTCAATGACAAAGCCCCACTTGTGGTTTTCCTGGCCATCCTTGCCATACATGATGGCCTCCAGCCACGACTTGATCTGAGCGGCGTAGCCTGCACGCTCAGCCCCGGCAGTCAGCAGGTCGATGTCGACGTTGCCGTTGCGAATGAGCTTGACAGGGGTGATGAAGAACTAGTCGCAATGTTAGTAACTTTTTCTTTCGCCTAATCCGCAATCCAAATCACTACCAGGAGGAAAACTTACCGCAGTACCAGAGACGAAAGACTCGACGATGCGCCCCTCCTTCCAGGCCTCCTCGATGTCGGCAATCGTGAACTCCCTCTCCACGACCTCGACGGGAGCAAGGTTGCCGCAGGGCTGAGCGAAGTGTGTCCGAGCCAGCTCCAGAACACTACGACGGGTGACACCCGGCAGGATCAACTGGCTGTCCAGAGGCGCAGTGATCAACTCCAATTTGCCCGTCTCCTTGTTGTCCCACACGACGAAGAAGTTACTGGCACCGGCCTCGGTGACCTTGCGGTCCTCTCCAAACAGCCAGAGCACCTGGTCGAACCCGAGGGCCTGCGCCCGGCCGTGCGCGGCCAGGGACGGTCCATAGTTGGCGCCCAGCTTAGCATATCCGAAGCCACCGGGCCAGGCACGGATCGTGTCGGGCTGGGAGGCAAGAAGCTTCAGACCGTGGGGGGCACCCTCCTCTTGCTTCTTCTTCGACGGGTCGGGCCAGGGGACCGCGATGATGAACAGGAGCGCTTCCTTGGGGGTTTGTACGCCCAGCTGGGTGCCGTTTCCGATCACCGTGGGACGGAGGTAGAGGAAGCGACCGGGTTGATCCTTGGGGAGCCAGCCTGCAGCAAGAGAGAACGACCTTTGTGTCAGCTGGGGTGTCATGCATGAAATGATCGTCGGTCAGGGGATAGGGGAGAGGAGATTCATACGTGGTCCATCGATCTGCATCAATTTCGCAATGAGGTGCTTCAACTCCTCGAATCTGAAACCAGGGAGGGAGGCCCTCTTGGAGCTCCCGTCCAAGCGCTCTCCATTGAGATCGGGTCGGAACAAGCGCAACTTGCCATCCTGGCCGCGATATACTTTCATGCCCTCGAAGCATTCGGTGGCGTAGTGCAGGCACGAAGCGGTGGGAGGGATGCTCAGGTTGGCGAAGGGCTTCACTTCAGGCGTATCCCAGCCATTGCTCGCCGTCCACCGGACAGTAACCATATGATCGGTGCAGTGGGAATGGCTCAATTCCTCCGGCGATCCAGGGAGGGGCACATCGCGGAGATTGGTCGAACGAGTCACCTTGATGTACGAGGCATCAAGCTCGGCGAGAGTAGGCGCAGCAGAACCCATGATCACTTCACTTAAGTTTTCGGTCGGAAAGGGTAATATGCGGAGATATCTGTAAGGCAACGCTCTGGGGGAGGAGGGGGATATGCCCAATTGATACTTGAGAGATTATCCCGCAGAAAGATGGTGAGTCACCACAGAGATAACTTTGGAAGTGAACCAGCGGGAACGGAGTTCGGGGACGCGACTCGAACGGGCTACAGCTTGGACCAAGATCCAAAGATCGGTCGCTGAGTGGGAGACAACAGGGCGAACGGAGGAAAGTTGAAGGAGGACAGGAGGGGAACCAGAGACACAACTCTCTACAACATGTCGAATGCGTCTACTTTATGAACTTTCCATGCCAGACCCGGAGGCAAAGAAAACTTTTCGGCGAGCCGAATCTCCCTATGGTCTGGGACGTCTTTTCGCCTTCGATATCCGAATTCGCAATAGCAGTTGGATCCATCTATGGGTTGAGAGACGGTTCAATCGGCACCCTGAGCATCAGGATTCGTGCCCGCGATAGGTTATCATCGGTTAAGGTCTCCGCAGATGGTGCTATTGTTGCTCTGAAACGGCTTTCTGTACCTTCCAAGTGATTCTGAAGATGGGCCCTTGAGGATCTATTGTCCCGCTTCAATCGTGCCCGCTCCGCCATCGGTGCCCCTCGACAACCGCCCAGACCGAGGATAACCGCAGGCGGTGTGAGCAGCAAGACAGAGTAGTCAGAACTTATCTAAGCAAGTCCGCGAAGGATGGCCGTAGGCTCACCGCCGAGAGTCTGGGTGAGATAGTTCTGGCAGAAAATGGCGGTGTAAATGAGACTCGAAGCTTCGAACAGTGTGCGGAGTAGGTGCCTTCAGTACTCTGTACTGCACCCTCTCCCCTTCCAAACAAGCTTAGACTTTTGCAAGGTACCAGGTCACAAGGCATACCAGCAAATCGTGGGGGAAAAGGCCATATTTCAAATGCATAGTACCCCGTACTGTGTAGAAGCAAAATTTAGAAATTAAATGTGTGGCCGACCCTTGCTTGTGTTCCCAGGGAAGCAGACCGACATTCCCAACTTGGAACATACACTAACTGTCTCCTTCGATCGATCACGATCAAGCCTTATCATTGGAGAACGAAAGAAAGTCCGGAGAAAGAGAAAAACAAGAAAGCAAACAAGCGAGAAGACACTGCAATTTCCCAGGTACCCATCAAAAAGCAAACAATGGGACAACATCGTTTTACTAGGTAGTATCCAGTAGAGTGCTTGATTCATGATCAATAAAACGTGGAGTCTAAACCGAGTCAGAACAGGTGCTAGCCGATCCTCGCATCGCCGTCACATAGCTATGTAAAGTACCCCGTACAGTACAACTTTAAGTGTTTATATGGACTACAGACTGTCAGAATACAATATCCATCATTGAGTGATCTTATCATTTTCAGATGACCACACCTATCAGCAGGGGAAAAAAAAAAAAAAAAAAAAACCTCCCAGTAAGCATGCATAACTGTCTCAGATCGATCGATCAGTGACCGCTACCAAGTTAACCAAGTCAAATGTTTGGTTCCATGCGAGGGGTTTTAGATGGGGGTGTGATGCAATATGCATATCGAGCTATCTACCCTAAGCGCTTGTCGGCTATGCTTCCTGTACAGCCGTAATCCATAGTTGATGCCCCTTCATGCAGTAATTTGGCTCTTAGGCAGGATGACCTCGCTGATCGTCCTGGTCCTTTCTCGCACGAGGGCCTTAGGGGGCGTGGGGGGGGTGTCGCTTCATGATTTGCTAGCTGATTTTCCAAGACAGCCGACATGATACAGATGATGGGGGGAAGGCCGGTTTTGAGGGGCGGGGTAGGAAAGAGTTACTACATAGTATTTGAGTAAAAGATCCCAGCTTACATACTCAGGAGGCTGATCTAATGAATGCCATGCAATGCCGGAGATGTATTCCCGCGCCCTCCCCCCCCCCCCCCAAAAAAGACGACGACAATCGATGGAACACCAGCGTCAACGAAGGGAGGACGTCTGATTTCTACCCATGGTCCATAGGAACAATTTGCCGCTTCAATTTGGCCTGAGAGTTTATCATAGGCTTGCTTGTATACGAAGGAGACCGAGGAGAAGTTCAAGTCTGCGCTGGAGAACAGTACGTAACCATGGAAGTTACCTAACTAGATGTTGTAGCCAAAAAGGGAGATGCGCGCCTTGGGGGGCCCGGGGCTCGGATCCCCGGTTCCGAGCGCCGGGCAAGTCACCGCCTACCAGTTCCAAGCATTCAGCCCTGCAGAATTTAGACTATTTACTGTGATAGGCAGGCGGACGGCGACTCGAGAGCTGGCCAAGGCCGCTCGGACCACCTCAAAGAGAGCAATATTCGGCATGTTAATTATGGATCATGCATCATGGATCATGGATCTTTGTCCGCTCTCCGGCATTCAATTTTTTTTACATACTAGTATATTAGTCTACATACCTATTTCTCTCTAGCCTACTTCGACTACTTGCCTGTGGCTTTACATTACCTAGGAACTTCAAATAAGCAATAAGATAATTCTCTTGCCCGAAAACTTCCAGTATTGACCAGCTTAGGTTTTTTTTCGAGACGCCACGAGCTGGCCGTTCAAGCTTACCGCAGCGAGCAAGGCAAGCGGGCATATGATCGCCATGAGGCCAAGAAGATCGCGCCCACCAGGTCAGGTGGTTGATTGGAGGCGAGTCTAGATTTTCCGGCACCAGCAGGGACCGAATGGGCTCAAAGTACCGGTCCAAAATCCCAAAAATTCCGGTCTTCCATTATCGACTTGGTAAGTAAGTCCGGTGGTAGACTAATTGCCATGGTACCTACCCCGTACAGTGTAAGACGGCCGTGAGCCGTGAGCCGTGAGCCGGTAGTACTCCGTAAATGGTTGAAACCAAAGTAGTACAAGGCACGGTTGAATAAAAAAGACCCTGAGGCCGACAACCCGAACATTAGCCGCTGGATCCCGCCCCATTCCATGCTAAGTGATGCAAGCAATTTTCAAGCCTGTCGCTTGTTTGTGCTATGATCTGAAGAAAAAGTCGCGGACCACTCAGCCACTTCGCCACATGGCATATGACGTTCACTGGAGTCCAGGTTGTCGCCGCACAAGGCCGGAGTATCAAAGTACCAAGGGGGTTGCGAGTAAGTACAGCTTGTCACTCGCATGCAACGATCCATAGGCCCTTGCTAGGCCACATCAGGCAAGGGTGCCAGACACCGTGGACCATCAATCTCTGGACCCCTTTCCCTGTCATATACCACTAATCACAGGCCTGTTACAGCGCTCATATTAAGTCTGGCCCATCCGCCTTGAGGATAAGTATACCTGATGGGTTTCCGAATGGAAGTGTCTAAATCCAAGGCCGCCACTAGTCCATTCGGATGACTTTTCCACCTGTGATATTGAGTCTTGAGGTGATGAGACGCGAATGGCATGGATTTGCTCCATGCCCGGGTGGCTCTTCTTTGACTTCCTGCGGATCCATTCTCCCATGTCCCCTTACCTGCTCTTTCTTTCCCCCGACCTGTAAAGTTGCAGATTTATAATATTTTTCTCGCGTAGAGTTGCGATCCTTGCACTAGTCGGCGCGTGCTACTGGTGCATGTCTTTGTTACCCTTAGGTAGAGGTGCAGCCAGCACACATGCAGCTTGGAGAGATAACATTGGGCAAGCAATGAAACTTCACCCTTGTTGGCTAACGGTCCGCGGTCGATCGATCAGGTAGTAGTAGGTTTACGGCGCCCATTCGCGGCGCAGCTGGTGTTCAATCATCGGATTGACGAAGAACGCTGATCGGTGATTCAATATGACATTAGGTCCAACCCAGGCTGCCCCACGAAAGGGGTAGGTGTAGTTATTTCTGAGCAGACTCATTGAGGTTCGGGGAAAAGGCCGGGGGTCGAGAAGCCGGCGCGCCTGTCCGCGTCATGAACAGACTTGTCTTGATACGTAGCCGATGTGGGAACCTGTCGCGGATCAAACTGGTACCGCGATTGCGAAGCTAATGCTCCAGCTCCAAGCTCAACTTTCAGTCGTTCCCACCACCTCTGTGATTGAACCACAGGTCTCTTCTGGCCTTCACTGAGAAATCCGTGGAGATGCTTGATTTCTTCCACTCAGGCTGTCTCGCGTTGCTAGTCACTGGCTCTGCCACTCTTTCCTTTTCCCCCTCCCTCGCTTATTATTCGTCTCTCTGTCGGTTCCCCAGTCTTGCGCTTTTGAAGCCAGCAGTCAACTCCTCGTATTCCAATCGCCGCCCAACACTGCTTCCTGCTAAGGCGAGCTCCGTGCTTGTCATCTTTCTTGCTCTACTCCGCCTTCAGTCCTTCGCTCTGTGCCCGGGCATAGTGTTGAAAGATCTTAGACGATCTGATCACGTGTAGGCTTTGCTCTTAGTCTGTCAAGCCATCCCAACCACTGTTGGGTACATATTTCGATTCCTTCCCCTTCAACCGCGTCGGCGCCTGCTCACCCCGGTGGTTCCCCACATTCTTTAACAGTCATCGATCGTGAGAGCCTTCTTTCTCGTGGTATTGAAAAAAATATGGCCTTTGTTGATATGCCGGAAGCGGGGCGTCTGTTTGGCGATAATTGAATGATCAAGGCTACGCCTTGTTACCAGGCATATGACATGAACCTCGACCTGCCTCATCTGCTAGATTAGGTAAACAATCAAGATTGTGGCGAACTTCCTTGGGGAACCTTGATGAGACACGTCCTTAGCAGCGTGTCCATGTGCCCAACTGCTTCGGTGCTGACCAAGCTAATTGTGAGCAACCTGACTCCAGCCCTAGGGATGAGATAGGCTGTCCGGGCTCTCAACCACCCCGCCTCCGTCGCCGGAAAGGGGCGTGCTGGCTCAGATGGACCATAATCATCTGGGCAGAACTCTGCCTACCCTCGCTCCAGGGCCACGCGGCGCGTTTGCAGCCCCAGTGACAACAATAGCAAAGTCAAGGAAGAACTCAACTGCTTGCACGTCATGTAAGGCAGCGAAGAGGAAGGTAATCGTGAACGCTACCCTTCCCTCCAGACAAACACATTCTTGCTCATTGTGAGGGTGCTTCCACCTATGTTGTGCCGATCTTTGAGCTAACCACGCGGACTATAGTGTAGCGGACGCCCGGCCCCTTGCAAAGCATGTCAAACCTCCAAAGTTGCATGTATTTTCGATGAATCCCTCGACCTCAGACGCAAAGTCGCCGTGAGACGCACTCAGGGGGAGCTTCAACACTATAAAGGCTTGTTGGCCAGCCTATTCAACAAGATTCGCGATGCGGACGAAGCTGAAACCTATAAAATCCTGGAAGCCATTCGTTGCAA